ATACAGCAGATTAGGTTTTCCCTGGGGCCTGAAGGCCAGCCAGTGAGGTTTTGTGGCTCTGTTCCTACCCTCCTGCATCATGTGGGGGTCAAAGCCAAGGCTGGTTAGTAGCAGGGAGGGAGGCTGCCAGGCACCCTTTCTACCTCCTCCATGTGGCAGACGCTGGCTGTGTGTTCTCTCATTCCAGGTCCCTTTCCTCTCCAAGCATCCAACTAAACTCCATTTCCAACACCCTGCAGTTTGGCTGGGTCCATGCGACTGGCCAGGGGAAACCGCACAAAGGGAAGCTGACACTTGCAGGCCTGGTGGTCATCCCCACAAGCCCAGTGACCACTCTCACAAAGCCAGCCGTCCTCCTCCCGATGGACCAGGACTCCCAGAGCCATGAGTTCAAGATGGGGGACCACATGACAGAAGGAGGCTGAACCCCTGCAGAGCAGAGTGGACCCGAAGGCCCCTTGCCCTGGGCCATTCGTTAACTGCTTGTGAATGGCACAGAACAACCCTGGGTAGTGTAGTGAGTTTAATTCGGAAGAGTTGAAAGGTAATTTTGTCACAAGAGCGTTTCCGTAACTATTTTAAGCAACACTTTGCCAATGTAGCAAGTAAAGTTGAATTATTCACAGAGAAAGCTGTGCGCAGGTACCTGTGATTTGGTAGAAAGTCATAGAATGTATTTTCTACACAGTAAATATCTTAGCTACACAAAGCATACCAAAAGCCCAGGAAAAATGCTTCACATCATTCGTCATTAGGGAAATGCCATGAAAACTGCAGTGAGATGGGAGGCTGGGTGTGGGGGTAACAGGGAGTGACTGCTAGTAGGTACACAAATTTCTTTTGGGAAAACGGAAATGTTTTAAAAGTAGATAGATTCGGTGGTTGCATAACATTGTGAATGTATTATTTACCACTGCACTGTACTATTTATTTATTTTGGTTCTTTAAGACAGGGTCTCGCTGTATAATCCAGGCTGGCTTTGAACTCACTATGTAACATAGCCCAGGCTTTCCCTTGAACCTGCAGCAATCCTCCTGCCTCAGCCTCCTGAGTGCTGGAATTACAGGCATGCACCACCATGCTCAAGTTGTATGGTACACTATTAGAAGGTGTATTTTGTGGAGAAAGACATCAGAGCAATAAAACAAAGTAAAAAAATACAAACAAAATGCTTGTACATTTGTTATTCTTCTGTCATTAGACCAATATTTTGATGTCTTAATTGCAATCGCTTTGCATAGATAAATGTGCTTACCTGATCTATCTAGTGTTCAGTTTTTCAGTAAATACTTATGCTTCATAATTTTTTTAAAAAAATTTTGTGTTAAGGGAACTTCACCTCGCATTTTTAGAAAGGCTATTGCGTGGTCTGCTGGGGCTGCGCGTCCTGGTGCTTCTCGGGAGACCCACACGGAGGAGCAGCGCGACCTCAGGACTGGGCCCCCTTCCTCCCGGCCCCGCCCCTCTGCACTCTGCCCAGCTCGGTCAAGCAGTCGGTCAAGAGCAGGAGTTGGATGGGAAGGATACGGGATGCGCGTGCTGAAGGTGACAGCGTCCCGCATCCCCTCTTCACAAACGCCGTCCTCGTTCACACAGGCGACCCCTCCTCCTGCAGACCCTCAGGCCCCCAGCGCCGGACCGCTCACCCCAACTCTGCGCCTCCTTCCGCTCACCGCCGGCCCGGACTTCCCGCGGCAGAGGGCAGAGCTGGGCACCCGCGGCGCCACCTCCGCCCTGGGGCCCCTGAGGCCTGCGCTCGCTGCGCCCACCCCCCGACT